CCTAGTGTGAACCTGACTTCCACAAGCCCGCACATGGAGATGTGCACCCTCAGGTATGTGCACATGGAGACGTGCATCCTCAGGTATGTGCACACACAAGGAGTTCTGCCCTAGAGGAAGTGACTGGAAAGAGGCAGAAAATTAGTCCTTGTTGTTCGTTACTGTGCTTAGCAAATGGGGGGGGGGGGAGGAGAGAGAGAGAGAGAGAGAGAGAGAGAGAGAGAGAGTTGATTCTGCAAACAGCTACAAGAAGAAATAAAAGGGCTTAGAGACTAGTCCAGAAATTTGGGGGGGGGGCAGGTCTCGAAAGTAATTCCTCTACACTGAAAACAGCAGGAAGAAATCTGACTGAAATGCAAGACCTCGATTTGATTGGTCTAGGAGAACTATGTTGTATCTTTAATTCCCAGATACTTTGGTTAATGCGGCCATCTTTGAGAACTATATGATTGTAAGGCTTCTATTGAACAATACTTCATCTATACAGCTAGGATTAGATTAAGGTCCTTTCCATTTTCCAAACAAATGTATGCTTTGCTCCTGGGCACTGAACAACTGTCCACTCATCATGAGACCTAGATATCACCAAAATGTTATTTTTCTGAAGGACAATTAAGCTGTTACACTTTCGCCCTTCTATCAGAATTAAGCCTCACGTCACTCATTAAAATTAGTCTTTCATTTGTCCTCCTTCAGCACATAACATTATTTCCCTTTTTTTCTTCTATACTGTAAATCCTCTGAATAGTCATAGCCCATATACATCCTTGAACATGCCTTACATATAGCATACATAGTGCTTGACAATTATGTGTTCATTACCATATAGTACCCTGCATATGAGTACATAGCTCATTGTCATATACTGACCCAGGGTTCCTGATCTCTAGATGTTTGGAGCCCAGGCACCAAAGTCATTTCAAGACAGTTCTTAAGTCTGAAGCCCAAATGTTAACTTTTACAATAGGTGCCACCCAGGAAGCAACTGGCAGCTTGGGGATTCTTTCTCCCCAGCTTCTACTGCACAGGGCTGTACGAGATGGAGCACCACCCAAGGCTGACAGAGCCTTAAACAAAGACAGTGGTTAAAGGACATCCCTAAGGAGTATGGTTGGTCTTAAGAGATTGAAGATTGATCTCTTAAGGAGATTAGGGATTGAAAACTGAACTAAATTTTGAGACCGAAGCAGCAACAGGAATCCCACTCCTCGGTTGAAGATGGTGTGACCGGATCATGTAGGAAGTCACTCAGGAGTAGCAAAACCAATAGCACAACACTTACTCTGTAGATTGGGTGTGGAGAAAGCAGTAGGGAAGTGAATGGGGGCACTGAGTAAACACAGTGAGTGCCACATCATTTGGGTTGTGTTTCCAATGGAACCAGACGGTTCTTTCAAATGTGCCGCTTATCCACATTTCATGATTCCTTAATGTAACCTCTACTTCCCATATGTAAGACTTAGTCTCCTATGTGCACGTGTGTGCTGATGAACTTGTGTGCACCACACGCACAGAGGCTCCTGCAGCAACCAGAAAACGGTGTCAGATCCCCTGGAACTAGTCACAGTATTGAGCTGCCATTTGGGTGCTGGAAACCAAGCCCAGGTCCTCCAGAAGAGCACTAAGTACTCCTTAACTGCTGAACCATCTCTCCACTCCAGTCCCATATAGATAGATAGATAGATAGATAGATAGATAGATAGATAGATAGATAGATAGATAGACAGACAGACAGATAGATTGATAGATGATAGATAGAAGATAGATAGATAGAAGATAGATAGATGATAGATTAGATAGATTAGAAGATGATAGATAGATAGATGATAGATACATAGAAGATAGATGATAGATTAGATAGATTAGAAGATGATTAGATGATAGAGATAGATGATAGATAGAAGATAGATTAGATTAGATAGATAGATGATAGATAGATAGATAGAGATAGATAGATAGATAGAGATAGATAGATAGATAGAGATAGATAGATAGATAGAGATAGATAGATAGATAGAGATAGATAGATAGATAGAGATAGATAGATAGATAGATAGTTTGGGTCTTTTTGAGATAGGGTCTCCCTGTAGCCCCAGCTGGCCTGGAACTCACAGAGATTCGAATGCCTCTGCCTCCTGAGTGCTGGGACTAAGGGCGTGTGCCACCACACCCAAGCCCTTACTTTCTTAAATCAACAAGACTCAGCAGTTTTAGGAATATACAAAAACTCAATTTTTAATTCACCAGACTTAAGTAAAAGAACTCTACTTTTCCCACTAACACTCTCCGTTTCTCATTAAAGCTCAAACCTCTCAGAAAAAGTAACTTTCTAATTTTTCACACCAAGCACTGCAAGTTAAACTATTTTTATAACCTTCTTGGCTAGGAGGCTTCTAAGAAACATTGTATCGGACAGTCAGTTTTCTGAGAATCTTGACTGGGTGCCTAAGTGAACAAAGTGGATGAGCAGTGAAGGACAGGCCGCAAGGCTGGTCTTTAAAGGGGAAATGGTCAAACAGTGACTTATTTTAAGGCAATGAGAGAATATGAACTGGAAACTAAAGACTTATGACTTTGAGGGCAGATGTAGTACTCAAACAACTTCAAGTTCTAGAATCCTGTCAAATGGTCCCAACTAGTGCTCAAAGGTGTTTAACTTGGCAGTGATTTAACAATCCACCTAAGACCAAGCAGCACAAACCAGTAACCCCAGGTTTGGTGTGCTGCCACAAACACATTACAAAGTGCACATTTCCCAGACATCTCTTTTTCACTAGACTTAGACTTCAATCTCTGCTCTTCCTCACACTGTCTCACTCTCCCCTTGTCTCTGTCTGAACGTGAACATAACCATGCTCACGATCTTAGTAGTGGTGATTTTCCACATTAGTACCGTGCTGACCCTTCTGTTTTCAACAGTCTCATGTGTTATACGTGAACTGTCTAGCTTCCCAATACTGACTTTACTAGGTTGAAGTGATAAAGGATTCTTACTGATTACCTAGAAAACAAAAGGCAGACAACCCAAGGACATGGTGCTGTTACTGATATAAAAAGTAACAGAAGTACTACAGGATAGACTCATCTCAATAAAGAATGAAGGAAAAGGCAATGGTTTTTGGAAAAGCACTGGAAAACAGGAAAGTCCACATGTGACTAGTGACACAGACGAGAGCAGAGAGTAAGTACTGAAGACCGAGAAGGAAGAGAATCTTAGCCTAGACTGGATGACAAAGCTTTAGAGTTAAACTCCTGGGCTTCCAGCAATGAAGAATGAGACAACTGACAGGACTTCCCACCCAATTCATGACGGGACTAAATGGTAAGAGTACACAGCTTAAAACACCAGCAGCATTCAGCAACTGGTCGCTGTTAAAATAAGTACAGATGAACCAAAACAGATCTGTTAGCTTACCAGTGTTTGCAGATTTTAGAAAATAGCTGCAAGAGAGCAGTTTCCCAGTGTGGAGAGTGGCAAGATGGACCCTCAAGACCACAATGAACAAAGCTTTTACTAGGCATTAAAGCCACACAGCTTAACAGGAAGGGTAATTTGACCGCTAGGTGGCAATAATTCTGAAAACAAAGGAAATCCAAACAAAATTTGCAAGAAGCTTTCTAGTATATATTTTCATTTTATAAAAGCCATTTGATATACAATCTAATAATAGAAATCATCCGATTAAGCATGTATATGAACTTCTGATGTTTATCCACCGAGAGCTGACAATCAATGCAATGAACACAATTCGCTTCAACAACAATTTGCTTTTAAACAATTTGCTTCACAGATATGTCCTTTGAAATATATAGAATAAAATAACAGAGATTATGGACAGGTAAATTTCTTTTAGAATTCTAAGAAGGGTACTACTTTTTCAATGGAAAAGTTAAAACTTCCAAAAATAATTGATAACAATTCTATTTTTTCTATTAAATTTTGGGTTCAGACATGCTGTAACAGAAACATTTTGCACATACATTATGCTAATTTTAATATATGCAAGCTATTTTCAATAAATTGGATGAGAGAAGCTTAAGAAAATTTGTCAAAATTCTTACAACCAATTTTAGAATTCCTTTTTGTAAAGTGTCAAAACAAGAAATAATCCCTTATCTCTGCTTTCCAGTTATTACTGCTTTCTTCATAAAACAGGATACAAACATATATTTAAAATAAAAATTTTAATCTTTTCTTCATATCAAATAAACCAGCCATGTATAACAAAATTTTTCAAGTTACAGATATTTCCAAACAGTAAAAAAAAAAAAAAAAAAACTCAAATTCCAGAGATAATCCTCAAATATAAGTGGGGTGCATATTACTACATGTAACAATTAAAAACTTTTACTAAAACTACTTGAATAAATAATTCCATACTGTTAATCCAAGTCAAAGTAAGCCAACTTAAAGCAATCCTATTTTTCTCTTTGTATAAATAAACCTATAAAGTTCTCCAAATTTTTAATTCCCAGTTTGTTTCAAATGAGACTATCCTTTATAAATCAGCTTTTCAATTTCTCTTTTAATAATTACTTCCTATGTAAATAATTACTAGAATTATCTTTTTTACCTTCAAAAAAATTAGGAAAACAGAAGTATGATTTCTAAGTTATTTCTATAATTCATATATAATTTCCCTCAGCATTAATGAATTTCATTTTTAAATTATTTTATATTCTGAAATCTAACCATATATTTCTTAGCCTACACAGACACAAAAACCGGACGACTCCAGATGGTTAGCACAAGAAAAGATTGCTATCTCCCTACCAGTCCTCAAAATTCAAGCAAAAGAATTCAGGAAAGTGCTTTATCTGTTCACTGTCATCTCTAAATTTAAAGCTAGAAAATGCAGGGAATGTCACTGTTGAGACAGAAGTGACATACAAAGGTCAATATACGGGTGTATGCAATTTATCTATACGGAATTAGTTCTACCTGTACAAATCAAGGAATAAGACACATAATTAAAGCACACAATCCTTGGACCACTTCAGATAGTTTTTGATTCGTATTTCACAGGACTGTCTGACAATTCAAATCACAAGCCACATCACAGAGGTTGTGTCACAAATACAATTACTATAACAAGGATAAAATTCAAATGCAATTATTGACTTGAGTTTGTCATCTTCTGTTTATTTCTGATGGTGGCTCTAAGTTTACGTATTACCAGTCTATCAGGTAGAATCATGTCACCTTGTTGTTCAAGATAATCCAGTAAATTTTCAGTCCATTGGAGAGCAGCTGTGTGATTTATCTGTTTCTCTGGAATCAGTTCAATTTCCTCCTCTTCCTCATTTTCACTGAACTCATCTGTCAGGCCTTGGGCCCTTCTGATTATTTCACTGTCAGTCAACACTTGGTAACCTGGCTCAGTACTGTCAACCTCAAGCCACTTCTCAACGTTTTCAGGAGTCACATTTTCCAATCCTTTGGTATGTTGTAAAACGGTGGCCACAGAAATATCTTCTTCATCAAAGACCGAGCCTTCTTTTTCCTCTATGTTAGGGAGAATCTGTTTCCAAGCTCTGCTAATGGTAACTGGTTTTACCAAGTTCCAGGCCATGGCGATTTCATACAGCGCATCCAACAGAGTTAGCTTCTTCCAGAATGACTTCAGGTCATTACCTTCCTCCAAACTGTTCTGAAGAAGACCTGCACGATAGTTTCTCTTCATCGTTGCTATGACTCCCTGATCCAGAGGCTGAATCAATGAAGCCACATTCGGTGGTAAATATTTAGCAAATATTTGGCCATCATCTGACCGCAGAACGTTTTCATTTGGATGTGTTGGTGAATTATCCAGCAACAGCACGGCTTTTTCCTGCAAGCCTTTGGATCTTAAGTACTCTCGAACCTGTGGCACAAAAATCTTATCAAACCACTGCCGGAAAATGGAAAGATCCATCCAAGCACCTTTTTGGCTGAAGTAAGAGACAGGCAAGTTTAAGGTGTCAGTGGACTTGAAGGAGCGAGGTTTCCTTGCTTTGCCCACAACACAGAGTTTAAGTTTGTGTAAGCCTGTTGCATTAGCGCAACACATAACAGTGACTCTTTCTTCAACTGGCTTGTGCCCAGGGACAGTGCATTTACCTTTGATTACTGAAGTCCGGGAAGGCAGGCACTTCCAGAAGAGTCCAGTCTCATCTGCATTGTAGACCTGTTCAGGTTGCAAATTCTCTTGTTCAATAAAATCTCGAAAATTGTTACAAAAGTCTTCCAGGGCATTCTCATCTCCATTTAATCTTTCATTTCTAATGTTGATCTCTCTAATGCTGTGCCGCTGCTTAAAACGGGTTAACCAGCCAGCAGAGGGGTTAAAATCACCGTCCATTCCCAAGGCATAGAAGAAGAACTCAGCCCGCTTGGCGCAGATCGGTCCGGATATGGGATTCCCTCTCGCTCTTTGCTGGTTGAACCACTCCAGCATCGCCCGGTCCAGCTCCTCATACATGGACGGCTTCATAGACTTCCTCTTGGCCAGGAGACTAGTGGAGTCCGAGCTGCTTGCGTACGTTATAATCTTTTCCTTGTTTTTCCTGATATCCCTAACTGTCGTTTCACCAATTCCATATATCACCGCCAGTTGCTTGGACGAGCCTCCATCTTCGAGTTTCTTTATGATATCAAGTTTATCTTTAATAGTCAACACCACACGCTTCCGTTTCCCTGACATGGCGAGTCTAGGACTCACTGCACGGTCACGCTGTGGATTCACAACAATCCTTATTGAGACTCGCTGGACCGCCTCACACTCGACCAGCCTTTGCAGGACCCACGGGCCGGGAACCCGTGCTCCTGACCCTTGCTCTCAAGACCCCTGACCTTTTTCCCATGACCCCCCGACCCTCGCGCCCCAGACCCCACGCCTTGACTCTTGCCCCGCCCCC